TTGGTCACAGCTGTATCAACAGAGTGACAAGTGCGGAATCCAGACTATAGCGGGTCAAGCAGAGAGTTGGATTCGAGGAAGTCTGTCAATCTCGCATACACAACTCTCTCAAAGATCTTGGAGGAAAATGGCAGTAGCGATATAAGGCAGTAGTTGGATGGGGAGTTGGGGTCGAGGTTGGTCTTTTTCAGAATCAGCGTTATAGTTGCATGCTTGAAGGGTGAAGGAAATGTGCCGGAAGAAAGGGAGAGATTAAAGGGACACTATAGTCACCCAGACCACTTCAGCTCAATGAAGTGGTCTGGGTGCCAGGTCCCTCTAGGGTTAACCCTGCCTGCTGTAAACATAGCAGTTTCAGAGAAACTGCTATGTTTACATTTGGGGTTAAGCCAGCCTCTAGTGGCTGTCTATAGACAGCCACTAGAGGCGCATCTGCAACGCTGGAGGCATATTATGCCTCCATCACGCCGAGCGTCCATAGGAAAGCATTGAAAAATGCTTTCCTATGGACACTTTGAGTGTGAGCATTCTGCTCGCTGACGTCTGATGGGGGAGCCGACGTCGGCAAAGGAGGAGAGGTAAGGGAGCCCGGCGGTGGAACAAGGTGAGTAACTGAAGGGGTTTTTTCAGCTTGGTGTGCCAGGGTTGTTTTTGGGAATGTTTGCTGCGTTTAAATGTAGGAGGTGCCATGATGTCAAGTTGAGAGGAGAGAATGGTGTTGTAGAGAGTATAGTTGAGGCAAGTGAGATTTGAGATGGGTAAAAGGAGAGTTTGGAGTTTGTTGGAGAGATTCTGGAGATCAAGGCAGTGGAGGTTTCTGCGAGATTAGAGAGTTGAGGGTGATGAAATTTGGGTACGGGGTATGCCGATGTCAAAGGTCAGCAGATGGTGGTCAGATAAAGGAAATGGAACATTGGAGAGATTAGAGGTGGTACAGAGTTTGGTGAAGATCAGGTCAAGAGTGTTTCCTGCTGTATGAGTTGCTGAAGTAGACCACTGTGCGAGGCCAAAGGAGAATGTTACTGTAGCAGAGTGCTGGTCTCTCACAGACTATCTCCGCTGGTAATCCAAGTTAGGCTCAGAAACAAGTAATAAAACCCAAGAGAATAATATCCACGGTTAGTAAAGTAATCCAAAAGTATCCCATACGTTTCCCAATGACTGGACAACACACAGCATCAGGAACAGAATCGTGGTTTATTCACACACTTCGGTTTTTAAGCCCTTAACGCCGTCACAGCGTTCTATGCCGTCCCGCATTAAAAGTGCTTTAAAGCCGCTACAGCGGCATAGAACGCCGTAATGGCTTGCAGATTCCTGGAGGTCCGGTGGACTTACCTCCGCAGCGATCCTCTACTGGAGGGCTGCCTGACAGCCCAGACAGCCCTCCATGGCAAATGAGGCCCCCGGGGGCCATGTGATCGCTATCAAAGAGCGATCACATGGCCCCCTATAGCTGGCTGTGGATCTGCCAGCAGGGGGACTGTCTAAAATGTCAGACAGTCCCCCTGCTGGTAGGAGGTGTAAAAAAAATATTATTAGACATGTTTAAAATTAAAAGTATTTATATACACACATACATACATACTATATATATGTAACGTCAAAGTGTATTTTAATATTAATATAAGTACATATATTAGTATTAAAATACACTTAGAATGACGTTACACATATATATATATATATATATATATATATACACACACACACACACACACGTACACGTATAATTACAATAATAAATAAAATAAATAAAATATTGATTGTATATATATATATATATATATATATATATATATATATATATATATATATATATATATATATATACACACACACATATACATATACATATACACACACACACATATATATATATATATATATATATATATATATATATATAAAAATACATATAATTACATATAAAAGATTACATTAGTATACATGTAGAATTTAAATATCTATAAATGCATATAGATTCAAATTCTAAGTGTATATGTAAGTAATCTTTTAACATAATTATGTGGTTTGATTAATTAAAATTTGGTTGACATGCCTGACAACACAGGGAGAAAGTGCAGAGAATTTAATTCACAAGCACTATATTTGACCCTGTAACTCTCCAAGACACCATAAAACCTGTACATAGGGGGTACTGTTTTACTCAGGAGACTTCGTTAAAGTTAAATTTACCTGAACTGGCTCGGGAACCGAACATGATTTCACCTGGGGTATTCCCAGCTGGCTAAACGCATTGGATCCACAAGATAAAACTTGACCATTATCTGTAAAACAAAACCGATATTTTTTGATAAATTGGGGTATATCTTATATATACAAAAGTTTGCTCTGTTTGTGCAAAAAATTTTAAAAGGCAGATAAGTATTTTTGGGAATTCAGAATACAGGGCGAAGATAGACATGTAGGAACCACAGTGCAATATGATATATTCCATATCTTATATATCTTCTTTGCCCTTGAAATAGCAGATACTAATAATTTTGGCAATGCACAGCAGTCTTTATTTTAATGCAATACCAAAAACAACTGCAAGGGGGCACTGGTACAACATTAATTTAGATGTTTAACCAGCATTCCACAGTGATTGCATTCCATGGGATTTGTACTGCCCAGCAAGCTATCATTTATGATTTCCAGGGTACCAATTGTTTTTTACTCAGGTTCTTGGCCTGAAATGTGGGGACAGCTCATGTAAACATCCTCAATCCCATCATTTTGGTAGTTATAGCAAGCAAGGATTCTGACATTATAAACCAATAGTATAATCGTGCCGCAACTCCAAATATGATGACAAAAAATTAAATAATTACTGACTTCAGAGATTATACCTTGTGATCTTTCAGGTATTTTAGAATCAGCATAAGATGCACCACGACCTGTGCTATAGCCATGATGGATGCAATAAAGGACACAGATAGATAAAGGCTTTCCAACATCTTGATCTATCAACAAGAATTAATGGCGTATATGAAGACACAGGTACCAGTGACACCCCAAGCATCATAACCAGCACTGATTCAAGTATGATTACAGATTATTGTATCATTACAGCTTTCTGAATCACCACAGCTTATTGTACCATTACAGCTTATCGTAGTGGTTATTGTGCTTGGGTTAGACTTCCCCCTAGGAGGCCAGTGGCCATGCCTAAGAGTAGAGGCTCAAAACCCACAAAAAGGCTATTTAAAAAGTACGACTCAGAGAGAGGTTTCATAACTATTACTATAAGCCGTAATGTTTACTGTGCTTGGAACGTCCCCGTAAAATCAGATATTAGATCATTCTACTATGTCTATTACAGATACTTGCAGGGTCAATGACTAAAGTGTATTATTGCCGGAAGTTCAAAGTGAATAAAAAATTTCAGGCCAATACCACCAACTGGAACTATAGCAAGTTTTTCTATTTTGGCTCAAAATTTGAAACTCGCTTTTAATTCACTTTAAATTCATAACAATTCTCACTTTACTGAAAAACCCTGTTGTACTTTGACAGAAGATAAGAAATAATTAGCCTATTTAGTCTGCTCACTGTGATCTCAGATTAATTTAATTTGTTGTCGCTCGGGATTGTCATATGCATACCTCAAGCTTTCTTTAAGTCCTGCAGTGTGTTAAAATGTACCTGGCTACAATAGGAGGCTACTCTGAATAACTACGGACCTATTTAGCCATTACTGCTCCAATGAAAGGCTATTCCATGTATCAACTATTCATTCACTATCACGTTTAGTTATCATTACTTCCACTGAAAGGCTATTCTATGTATCTACTACCCTTTCTTAATCAATCATTTTTAGTGATTCCTGCCTCCATGTATTTACTTCTCATTATAGAGCACTGCTACCCATTATATTCCACTGTAGAACTATTCTAGATAGGTATAACCCTTTCATAATGTTATTTAAAGAACTAAAGTATATAAGTAACTATGGCTTGTACACCTTGTGTCAATCCACCTTCTGTAAACTGGACTCTCTCTTTTTGTGGCATCACATCCCAGTTCCTGTAGAATTTAAGCTCATTTCAGTAGCGTGCTATTCACTTAAATTTCTTTGGTATCATCAATTTGTGTTTCCTTATCAATTGTACAGCATATCCCTGCACACCTATAATTTACCTGTTAGGATTAGGGTGAAATCCCACCCGCAGGAAACTTTGGAAACGCGTATGCTTCGGAGAGCAGAGCAGAAGGAGAAATGTGGGACGTTGTCTGTGTGATTCAGACCTAACTGTCCGTCCTTATTCTGACCACAAACATACAACTCTCCAGCATCTGTAAACAAAAAGCAAAGGGGAGATGAAATACAGTATGGCCAGTTATATATTGACTAATACAGCCAGGTATGCAGCAATGTACACAGCCAGGTATGCAGCAATGTACACAGCCAGATAAGCAGGCAATAATCGTGGCCAGCATGCACCACAAAATACACTAGCAGTGTCCATCCAGCTGTTACTATGCACTGATACCTCCAGAATCCTGAAATATACCTTAGAGTCTGGCCATGCCCCCAGATACCCATACCGTCTGGCCGTGCCACTGTATAGCCACACAGTCTGGCCGTGCCACTGTATAGCCACACAGTCTGGCCGTGCCCCCCAGATACCCACAAAGTCTGGCCGTGACCCCCAGTTACCAGATGACTACAAATGATGAAGACCCACTGAGAGATGGAAACGCGTTGCATTTTTAAGCATCTTATAGCTGAAGACTTCAGACTTATGTGTAAAGATTTTACTATTTTATGTTCAATAAATCATATGTTTATACCTAATTCGGTACTTTTCCATTATATATGTTGGGAGAGACACTCTTTGCAGGAAGTGAACCCCGAACTACCATCACCACTTTTACCAGAGCTCAAGAAAAATTACAGGCTCAAAAAAATGTGAGTGGGATGTGAACATTAGTGATGTCCCGAACGGTTCGCCGCGGACGGCGAACATATGACCCTGTACCTCACAGTCAGCAGACACATTCTAGCTAATCAGCAGCAGACCCTCCCTCCCAGACCCTCCCACCTCCTGGACAGCTCACTAAGAATGCAGCTTCAAAATGGATGCTGTCCAGGAGGTGGGAGGGTCTGGGAGGGAGGGTCTGCTGCTGATTGGCTGGAATGTGTCTGCTGACTGTGAGGTACAGGGTCATATGTTAGCCGTCCGCGCCGAACCGTTCGGGACATCACTAGTGAACATATATTTTAATATATACACATGAGACAAGTTCATATGTTCTTCAACTATACTGCTCTATGTCAAGTTCATCTTTCCACAGCTTATCACCAAGAATATAACGATATTGGTATATATTCATTTAAAATATATATCCTGCATTTGCACTTTCTGTCTGCATGCTGAGTGCGCCACCCAGTGTTTCTTTGTGGTACCCCCAGATACCCACACAGTCCTGCAGTGTCATCAGATACCCACACAGTCCTGCAGTGTCATCAGATACCCACACAGTCTGGCCTTGCCCCAGACACCCATAGTCTAGCCACGCCATCAAATACCCATACAGACTGGCCATGCCCTCTCATACCCATACAGTCTGGCTGTGTTATCAGATACCCATAAAGTCTGGATGGGCCCTCTGATACCAATGCTATTTGGTCATGCCCTCAGATACCCACACAGTCTGGCTGTGTGCTCAGATACCCTCACAGTCTGGCAGTGCTCTCAGATACCCACACAGTCTGGCAGTGCCCCTAGATACCCATACAGTCTGGCTGTGTTATCAGATACCCATAAAGTCTGGATGGGCCCTCTGATACCCATGTTATTTGGTCATGCCCTCAGATACCCTTCCAGTCTGGCAGTGTTCCCAGATACCCACACAGTCTGGCCGTGCCCCCAGATACCCACAATGTTTGGCCGTGCGCTCAGATACCCACACAGTCTGGCCGTGCGCTCAGATACCCACACAGTCTGGCCGTGCGCTCAGATACCCACACAGTCTGGCCGTGCGCTCAGATACCCACACAGTCTGGCCGTGTGCTCAGATACCCTTATAGTCTGGCCATGCATTCTAATTATACACTGAAAACCTTATAATAGCTCCTAATCCTTGGCAGATAGATTTAGGGAGAGCATTTTACTACAGGCATGCAGTGATATGCAGTTATACCGGTGACAGCAGCCGAATGTCCTCCCCCTCCAGTGATACACGTTATCACTCGCTTGTTGTCTGGGAAGTGTGTAACTGGCTGTGGTAACAGTTCATCGTTACTGCTGCCAAGTCCCAGCTGTCCGTAACTGTTCGCTCCCTGAAACAGACAAAAATAATATCCCGGTGTAATACACCTGCAAAGAAATCTCACTTAATCACCACTACCTCCAATGGAACAATCCCAACTATTCTAAGCACAATTTTTAATATAATGCATAAAATATATATTTTACAGAAATTTTAAAAAAAGTATACAACATCAAGGATGACTGACAGCTATAATCCCAGCAGTTGCAGGATTATAACTCCCACTATATTTCACCAGATTTCATACTGTCAAAGCATTGTGGGGCTAGCCCTATAGCTGTTGGGGCTACCTTTTTGGCCATCCGTGCATTATGATGTTCATAGAGAAATGGTAATGAATATTACAGACAGCATTCTCAAAACAGAGTTTTAGAATTGTATTTATCTTCTCTCCATAAAAGCTTGGAAGGCTTTTTCTAAGGCTATATGTGCAATTGTCCTAGACTGAAATGGGCACCAGCAATGTAACATACAAATTAACACTGCAACAGAAGAAAATGGATGGTGTAAAAAAAAATAATAATAATAATAATAATAATAATAATAATAATAATAATAATGAAATTCTTGCAATGATGAGATTAGTTATTTATTGTTAACAATTTACATGCTGGATTTTTTTGAGACAATCATGCAAAAACCTTTTCACTTTGTGCTGCAAAAAAATACAAATTATATTTTAAGAAATGATTTGGATGAGGGTAAATTAGGACAGAGTGAAATGGGCTAGAAAATTAACATTTTAAAAAAACCTACCTTATTTTGAGTACAATGTAGCTGTAGTTGCTTATATATAAATATATATTTTAATTATTTGCAAGCACAGCTTTTGGGATTATCAGGAAACAGAGACACAGATCCTGTGCTTGGAAAAGCTCCTACACATTGCAGGAAGCAGACTATGGGATAACTGCAAGTGCTTCTGCAGTTACATCACTGGGACCAGTTCCAAGCATAGGATTGCTGCAGCAATGTGGTAAAAAAAGGTGAGAAGTGGGTTTATACGATCCTGCATAGCACTGTGCTTTGGAGAAATAGAGCAACATTAATCACACCAAGTCACGTCAGTCAGACAATCACCACATTATTTGAGAGCCTGTGCTGCACACAGAGAGACATTCTCTGTGTTCTGCAAAGGATAAACCCAGTATAGTTTGAGCCACATCAGTTATTAGATAGATAGATAGATAGATAGATAGATAGATAGATAGATAGATAGATAGATTCCATATATGAAAGCATAACTGATTCAGAGGAGATTTTTTTTTTTAGTTAATTCATATTTTAGGGTAATGTTTTTAATGATAGTTGAGACATATTTTAATCCAGATTCCTAATATATACTAAATGCAAATTGCATTTTTTCTAGAGCCCACAGATCTAACGTGTATATGAAGCTCCCCAGTTCTAACATTAGCAAACTTAGCAGTTCTGCAGCACTTCCTCAATCTAGAGTAGGGGTGCCCAGATGTAGAACTACATATCCTATGGTGCTTTAGAATCATGAAAGATGTCGTTTTAAAACATCTGGGGAACTACCTTTTGAACGCCCCTGATCTACAGCATAACTGGACACCCATCTCTCTTCACCCAGCTGGTGGGTTATACATAAAAAATTTGCCTTGTGGTATGTAGATAGAGTTCATATCCTACAGGAGGAAATTCCCATTAATAAATAAATGCAGTTCCTTTTGATAATACCCTAATTTAATACTAGTTACAGCAGGACAGCATTAATCCTGTAGTGTCCACCAGCCTGTACGTGGTGGATATGGCAACCCTGCCCCCAGCCTTTCTGTTTGTGATGAGCTCAGCATATCCCCAGCTCAATGCATGTGTGGAGGCTGTAAATACACACTGCAGCATGGAGAGGGAGGGGGGCTGGTTGTAAAATACACATTGCAGCATGGAGAGGGGGGCTGTCAGAAACACAATGCAGCATTGAAAGGGGAGCTGTCATAGAGGGGTATATGGCTGTAAGATACATATTGCAGCATGGATAGGGGGGCTGTCAGATAGGGGGTCTGGCTGTAAGATACACATTGCAGCATGGATAGGGGGGTCTGGCTGTAAGATACACATTGCAGCATGGATAGGGGGGTCTGGCTGTAAGATACACATTGCAGCATGGATAGGGCTGTCAGATAGGGGGAAAGTCAGATACAGATAGGGGGCTGTAAGATACACATTGCAGCATGGATAGGGGGCTAGATAGGGGGTCTGGCTGTAAGATACACATTGCAGCATGGATAGGGGCTGTCAGATAGGGGGCTCTGGCTGTAAGATACATTTGCAGCATGGATAGGGGGCTGTCAGATAGGGGGGTCTGGCTGTAAGATACACATTGCAGCATGGGGGGGCTGTCAGATAGGGGGTCTGGCTGTAAGATACACATTGCAGAATGGAGAGGGGTCTGTCAGATGGGGGGTCTGGCTGTAAGATATACATTGCAGCATGGATAGGGGGGCTGTCAGATAGGGGGCTCTGGCTGTAAGATACACATTGCAGCATGGATAGGGGGGCTGTCAGATAGGGGGCTCTGGCTGTAAGATACACATTGCAGCATGGATAGGGGGCTGTCAGATAGGGGGGTCTGGCTGTAAGATACATATTGCAGCATGGATAGGGGGGCTGTCAGATAGGGGGGTCTGGCTGTAAGATACACAATGCAGCATGGATAGGGGGGCTCATTCTTACAGCAAGGAGAAAGGCCTGTCTGGGGGATGGGTCCTGTAATATGATGATGGCAGCATGGAGAGAGGGACTGTCAGATAGGAGGGCTAGCTGTAAAATAAATACACATTGCACCATGGAGAGGGGGCTGTCAGATAGGGGGGTCTAGTTGTAAAATAAATACACACTGCACCATGGAGAAGGGGGGCTGTCAGCACAATGCAGAAACCCTGCTGGGGGCATCTCTGAATGCACAGACTGCAATTACTATAGCAACCAGAAGGGGGTTAGTTATCAATGGGACACGTACCCAGCTGAATAGGAGCTGCAGCTGCCGTGATTCCCCCTCACAGCTCATTGAGAAAACATAAGGGAAGTAGCTGACACGCACTTGCGTTCCACGCCTCGCTCCCTGTGCGGCAGCTTCCGAGCGCAAAACTAGTCATGTGATAAGCATTGCGCATGCGCAAGAAAACGTGTCAGCCACGTGCTTTGTAATATGCTCATTCAGCACAAGGTGCTACAATGAGCTATTGATCATTGTTACAGGAAGGCGAAAGTGCTGATTTTGCAGAGTGCAGCCAGCAGCCATCAGTTGGGGGAGGGTTATTTTAATTTTATATATATATATATATATATATATATATATATTTTATTTATTTTTTTTACTGATAATATAGTTAGAATAATTTATGATTATATAAATATTTAATTTATTTATTTTTTTACACAGGGCAGATGGTTTGTTTGAGGTTTTTATTCACTGAACTTCGAATTGTAACGCATTGAAATCCAAATGATAAATGAAATCCCCATTAGCCGCCCTATAAAAGTCACCTTATTTCCAGCGCGCGTCTGCTGGCACTGGCTCTGCCCCCTTTGTGACATCATAGAAATGGCCAATCGGCATGGAGGGCCAAATGCTGTTCTGGACAATCAGAAGTATGTTGTGGTGTTGTGGCTTAGTTGGTTAAAGTGCCTGTCTAGTAAACAGGAGAGCCTGAGTTCAAATCTCAGCAGTGCCTATTTTAGCTCTAGACTTGGAAAACTATCTTATGTCCCTCATCATTATTGCACAGAATCTACATCACGTCTCTTAGGCAGACAATGTAATAGAGCAGCAGGAAATGCTAGCAGAATGCTTGGTTGTATAGGGAGAGGTATTAGCAGTAGAAAGAGGGAAGTGTTCATGCCATTGTAC